CCACTGGACTCCAGCCTGGCCAACAAAGCAAGACCCTGTTTCAAAATAAGATAACTGAAAAAAAAAAAAAAGTGTAAATGTGTATTAGCTTCCAACACAATTGGAAAATAATAGCAAAGTTACTGTTGAATAAAAATTAGAAAGATATCCTCCAGGCTTATAGGATTATACTAACTAGGATAGTGCAGTGTTTGGATAGGTAGAAATAAACTAGTGGAAGATGAAGGAGAAACTAAAATGGATTCAATTTATACATGTATGTGCAACCCTGATGTACTGCAGAAATGCCATCAGAGAGTGTTGGGCAAAAGAAGAGTCTTTAAAATAAATGGAGCTGGAACAACAAATTAAAAAACAAACAAAGACTTATTCAAATCCATTGTCTCTAAGAATGTCTTCTCTAATTATCTGATCTGACTAACCTTTCTTCATTTGTGACTTCCCAGCTCCCTGGGCATGTAGCTGTTGTGACATATGTGAAGCTGTGTTCTAATGGTTTGTCAAACCTGGTCAATTCCAAAATACCAAGCCTTTCCATTAACATAGAATTGAAATATAATGTTCTGGGGTAAATTCAAGGGCCTTGTCAATATTTCCAAAAATTTTGGGAAGGTAGGGAGGGGTGTTACATTTTGCTGGTCCCATCACAAGGAAATGTATCAAATTCGATGATAAAAATTTAAAATTTTTCAAAACTTATGCACACAAACACTCACAGACAAACATGGTGCCACTTGCAGTTGAGAGAAATGTAAACACACATAAAGATGCAGTATTGAATCATAACTGAATAATATGAACACTAGCACCTACTATACTACTGTAATAATTTCACAGCTACCTCCTCTTGCTGTTGTGGTGAGCTTGTGTTGCAGGTATTTGTTCAAAACACCATGTGATGTTAATCATCTCCTTATGAGCAGCTGTCTCCAGAAAACTGTAGATCAAAGTAAAAAAGTAATCTCCCATGGCTCTTAGGGATTTTTCATCATGATTAGTGCAATATCATAACTTTTGAATAATACTGTGGGTTCCATACAAAGTGCCACTAATGATACTGGAAGTGCTCCCAAGAAACAAAGTCATGACATTACAAGTAAAAGTCAAATTGTTTGATTTGGATCATAAATTGAGGTTCTACTGCTCAGGTTTCCCATTTCAGATAGATGATTCATCTTATAAACAAATGAGATATACCTACAGTATTGACATACACTGCATGGCACTATAAAGGTATTTTCTCTTCCGTATAATCTTCTTAATAGCATTGTTTTTTCTCTAGTGTGCTTCATCATAAGAATATAGTATATAATACATGTAACATACAAAATATGTGTTAACAAACTGTGTTGTCAGTAAAGCTTCTGGTCAACAGTAGGCTATTAGTAGTTAAGCGTTTTGGGCAGTCAGAAGTTATACTCAGATTTTCAACTGTGCAGGGGTCAGCACCCCAACCCCCTATGTTGTTCAAGGACCAGCTGTAGCTTGAATCACACAGCATGCAGCCTTTTTAGATTGGCTTGTTTCACTTAGTAATTTACACATTTTTCTTGCTGTTTTTTCATAGGTTGAGAGCTCATTTCTTTTTAGTGCTGAGTAATATTCCATTGTTGGATATATCCCCAGTTTATTTAAATCATTTTAAAATCGTGGTTTTTCAACTCAACTTGGGTCAACTTTTTAATCTGGATTCATGACTTTTCACATAAGTAGAAAATAAGTTTTCTCCTAAGACAAAGCAAACTCCACAGGCTGATTCTTGTCCTCAATGCCATGGTCTTATTCTCTCCTCTGCATTGTCTTATTCCTCCTTCTCCTGTCCCTTATTTCTTCCCATCTCCCTCCTTTCCTCCTCTTTCTTCTCCTCCCACTTCTTGTTGCACGAGTTCTGTGATCTGTCTTTCTTGCTAGAATCCCAACTTTTGAGGGCAGGCATTATAACTTATGTATCTAGTGAGACCATAGCCCAACACACAGTATCTTCATTAAACCTTAAGTTACTGAAACACAGAGGTTTTCCTTGGTTGGCATCTGGTTTCCCGAATGTGTCCTGGATAGAGCAATTACTTCATAAGTAGCCTCCTGGTACATATGCCTTCATGCTTATTTGAATGTGTGTGTGTGTGTGCGAGTTTTTGTGTTACACATAACAATATATATCCTTATTAGTGAAACTACCTGTATATTACTTCATGCAAGTATTGCAAAAACACTATGAGATATGTATCATTATTAGCTCCATTTTACAAATGAGAAAACTGAGACTCAGAAAGTTTGGGTATTTGATTAATTTTAAAATAATCATTAAATGGCACAGTCAAGAATTAAACCAAGACAACTTGACTCTGAAGCCTGTGGTTTAACTATTACACTGTACAAATAAATGTATGTACCAGTTTTATCACATAGAATGGTTGCTAAAATAAATTGGCAAACTCCAGTGTTTCTAAAGACATTACATGAAAGGTCTGTTAGCCCATATCTAATACAGAATAAGTTAATAAAAAATCTATAATGGAAACTTAAAATCTCTAAGAAACTAATCAATGCTTTTAATCATTCTCTGACAAATATATTAGTGAATTAAACTCCATATGCATGCTCAGAAGAAAGAAGAAAATTGCTCAAAATGTCATTTTGTCATCTTTTTGCTTAGACACATGAAATCACCTTATTATGATTTACAATGGAGACTTGCAAAGATAAACACAAATCTTCCTTTCCCCGTTTATTTACTGGAGAAGCAGTGATATTCTAGCCTTTTGCTGATTGGGTGGGCACAGTCAATGAGCCAGCTTCTAAAATCTGAATGGTAGTCAGCAAATTACAAGATAGGTTAGCAATTTAGGTAATGTACTTTGGAAATTATAGTATATAATACATGTAACATACAAAATATGTGTTAACCAACTGTGTTATCAGTAAAGCTTAAGCTTTTTGAGATCAAAGACAAGAGAAGAGGAATAAAACCACACACACACACACACACACACACACACACACAAGGCCGAATTCTTGATTTTGATAATGTATGCTACACTGTGGATTTTAAAAGTCCTGTTCAGAAAAATTATCTTGAAATTTCACTGGTGAAAAGTCAGCATAAGGAAGGGTGACAGATGACAGAGCTTTAGTGAAGTACGCAAATGAAGAGAAGAAATCATGCAGTTTGGGGGCCTAGATCCTTCTCTGAAAAGTATGAATCTTTCAAAAAGGCATAGCTAGATCTTGAAGATCATCTACACCAACAACCCTCCTTTTTTTCCCAAGATGCAATATGGTACCCATTCAAGGGTTTTATATTGTGTGGAGGCAAAGCAACTTCATCTTGGATGCTAATCCACCATGTTGACTTCTGATCAACTCCAGTTCTGGGAATGTCTCTAAGATTTCTACTTTCACATACTTACTGTAAATCCAGCCCTTAAGTCAAAACAACTTTGATGTTATTATAAACGCATACTTATCATCAACTCTGCCCTTAAGCAAATTCCCTATGGTATATAAGCCCTGGATCTGGGGGTAACTGGGTGGGGATCCAACATCTTATCCTTCAGCTTTTTGTTTGTAGGTCTTTATTTAATGTTTCTTTCAAAGAAACTGAATGTGTCAGCCTCTTTCTTCAACCTCTCAGTCCCCTGGGCCTTGGGAAGAAGGTGTGCATATCCCTGCCTACTGCAAAACACACTAGAATCTCAGTTGTACCATGGTCTACCCTTGTACCTTGTGTAATGATTTTTGTGAACTTTAAGCCTCTGGCAGAATTAAGTGGGACATTCAGGAGATATGCACAAAACACCTTAGGTGATGCTATTTCCCTTCTTCATCACTATGGGTGAAAAAAACTAAGACTTCTGTGGTAAGCACTCAACAATGTTGCCTCTTTACTATCTAAAATGTATGTTTCCTTTCAGTCACAGCTCTGGTTTAAAGGAAGCATTTCCACAAAGGGTTATTGCTGTGATCTTCCTGGGCTTATCTTACCTTATCTCTCCAGCTAACATCTGTCCCCTTGATTCAGTGTTCAATACATTCCTTTCATCCTTTCCATTCCACTGAAATTTTTCTCTTCGACTTCACAAAACAAAACCACCACTCTCAAGCTTCAGATATTTTAAGGGTTTACAATAAAATCATAGCTTATATTTCTAGCATTATCTTCCATAAGCCTTCCTTTCACTTTCAACCCTCCAGTCATGGTAGCCTTTCCCCTACTAAAATATGTCAGATTCTCTCCAACTCCAGGGCCTTTGCACATGCTATTTCTGCTGCCTGGGCTGTATTCATCCTCACTTAGTTAATTCCTATTCCCATCCTCAGTTAGTTAATCCATATTACCTTTCAGTTTTCAGTGGTCAAGTCTGCTTATTCTGTGTTCTCATGGGCACCATACACTCCTGTTTTGAAAACATTCCTCATGATCATCACTCTGTACTTTGATCAATGCCTGTCCCAATGGACAATGTGAGCTATAAGGGTGGGGATTCTCTGCTTCTGCTAATCATGGTAGGTACTAAAACTATAGCTGATGTTTTAACTCACCAGTATCTGGGCAAAATGTAGCATTGCACTTCCCTGCACCCTCTAAGTTAGGAAAGGCCATGCAACTTGTTGTGGCCAATGGCAGGTAAGTAGTGATGAGGTATACCACTTCCTGTAGCATGGTCAGTGCAGGAGTCACTGTGTTTATTTCAGTTTTCTACTGCCTATCGTAAATGCCCTAACATTACTCCAAAATCTGATCCCCATCAGCCCTATCAGAACACTATTTAAGAGCTCAGTTACTTCAGCTGTGGCAAAATAGTTATGGCCCAGGTAAACAGAAGAAGATAGACTGCACAGTAACAAATTTAGTTAACAGGAAGCAATCCCAAATCTACAGGCACAGAGAAGAATGAGAGAGAAACTTCACCCTAATGAAATTTAGACTTGAGTTTTAGAAGATTTTCCTGGAAAGACTAAGTAGAGTCAAGAGTTAAGGTAAAGTGAAGGCATGAAAAGCAGAATGGTGTGGAATTTAAAAGATGAAGAACTGTAAAAGTTTAATTTAATTATGTATGATCTCTCAAAGACAGATCCACTGCAATCACGAAGAAGAATCACCCTTTTCTACACAGGGCCATTTTTCCACGATGCTACATTGGCCATCACAGAGCACAGTAAATTCATGATGAGATAATGCTGGAAAACAAATGACAGTAAAATCTTTGAAATGTCCATCTGTGTCTGTGGGGGAACGAGCAGCAAACTTATGGAAAAGGAAGCGAGCTAAGGAGATAAGACTTCGACTTGAGAGGCTTTGTGATGATACAAAGATTCCTGGAAGGAGTAACGGGTAAGGCATTGCATCAGATTCAATATGTGTTGTGGAGCGTGTGGAAGGAAAGGTAAAATAGTAAAAAAAAAAAAAAAAAAAATGATTGCAGCTGAAAAGGTTAACAGATTGTAAATAGAAGTTTTTTGTTTTGTTTTTTAAGCTCTTTAGTGGAGCTTGAAAGTTAAATGTCATAGGCAATAAAATTAAAAAGCCAACAAAACCTACAAATTCTATAGGGACTGTGTGACCCAAAATGCAAATTATGCTCATGGTTTGCAGACAGCTTGAGTCCATCACAATCACCAGGTAAATGGATTTTAGAGGAGGAACAAAAATCCAAATAGGTACATTGTTAAGTATGGATCTTTCACAATTCAAGGATGCTGTATACATTACTCATCTCATTCCTCCCAAATCTTCACATGCATGAGGTTGTACATGATCTATCTAACCTTACCTTACTTATGTCAGCTAGTGCCATTAACCCACTGAGGCTTCATGATCCAGACACTGTAGCCTTGTTCAGTTCTTCAGATTCATGTTCCCTGCCTTAGAGTTGCACATGTGGTTTCCTCTGCTGAGAATGCTGCACTTCACCCATATCCCTCTGGACTAGTTGTTCTCCTCAGGGGACATTTGAAAATGTCTAGAGGCATTTTTGTTTGCCACAGTTGGGCAAAAGTCCCACCGGTATCCAGTAAGTAAAGGCCAGAGATGTTGCTCTTTAAACATACTGCAGTGCACAGAACAAATCCCCACAATAAAGAATTATGCAGTCCCAAGAATCAGTGCCAAGGCTGAGGCACTCTGCTCTATATAACTCATAGTTATCTGTCTTTCAGGTTTCACTTCTCCTGGGATGCCTTCCTTGATCTCCATGATTAGATTAGGAAGTTCAAGTCACCTTACATTTCTACTTTGTAGCAATTATTGCAATTGAAATTAATCAATTTTCTGTTTAAGTATGTATGTAATCCAGTCAAAAGAATAGCTGGAAGGACATAAAGAAAGACATTGTAATTCCAAGAGTTTGGGAGGCCTAGGTGGGTGGATCACGAAGTCAAGAGATCCAGACCATTCTGGCCAACATGGTGAAATCCTGTCTCTACTACAAATACAGAAATTAGCTGGGCGTGGTATTGTGCCTATAGTCCCAGTTACTGGGGAGGCTGAGGAGCAAGAATTGCTTGAGCCCCAGAGGCGGAGGTTGCAGAGAGCCGAGATCACAGCACTGCACTCTAGCCTAGTGACAGAGCAAGATTCTGTCTACTGGTAACTGAACAGGAAAATGATCAAATTCCAGGGAATAATGGAAACATTTTTATCATTTCCCTTAGTCAGTGCTGTCATCTTTCAATGGATTCCCCAGTTCTTCCTTCCTTTACTTTTCTCCTTAAGAATCCAGATTCACTCAGAATGCCCTTGTCACTTACTCCCATTTCATTTTGAGGCTTCTTAAATCCAAGGCCCAAGATGGACATTTCAGTTTGTCCCTGGTCCTCCTGACATGACCCACAAACTCTTTTTAAAAATATTTTGCTAATAACAGTCACAACTTATGGATTGTCGTTGATGTGTTTCCATGGCCCTTAAACTTCCTATTTGAACAGGGATGAGAACAGAAATGAATGAAGTTCCAACAGCAGTTCTTGCTGCCACATCCACTGGGAAGAAATAGATAAGATAAATTAGGGAGAAAGAAGAGTTCCTGTACCTGGAAGTCAACACACATGTTCAATCTTCACTCCCAAGTCCTAAATCCTACCTCACAATTTTCTTGCTTTCTCCCTTCACTCCAAATTACCATAGTACTGCTTTCTTATCTTATTCTATTTGGGCTCCTATACCAAAATATTATAGATTGGGTACTATAAAGAGAAATATATTCTTATAGTTCTGGAGACTGGGAGGTCCAAGATCAAGGTGCCAGCAGATTTACTGTCTGGTGAGGGTCCCAGTTCCTCTTTCATAGATAGCCATCGTTTTCCTGTTCCTTCACATGGTGGAAGGGGTGAGGGATCTTTTGGGGGTCTCCTTTCCAGGGCATTAATCTCTTTTATGAGGGTGTTTCCCTAAAGTCCCACACTAACTAATCACCTCCCCAAAGTCCCACATCCCAAAACTCTTATGCTGGGGATTCAGTTTCGACATATAAATTTTGGTGGGAACCCAAACCTTCAGGCTATAGCACTTATTCTGAGCCTTATCCTTTCTTATTGCTACATATTTTACTTAGATGAACTTTCTCTAGGCTCCACAGCACAGTGTCCACTCTATCCCAGCACCTATCATAATATGCTGTAATTGATATTTCTGGTGTTTCTTGCTATGAAATTGTGAGCTCCTGGAGTTGAGGAACCATGTTTTGACTATCTTTACGTACAACATATGAGCAAAATGGCCTTGTTTCTATTCTGAAAGGGCAAATATTTATTAGAGAAACTCACTCTATTTTAAAGCTGAAAGTAATCTTACTCATCTGTATTACAGTGAAACTCTGGTACATTTTGAGAAATTCTTTAGTTTTAAATCTCCAAAGACAATGATCTAACTATAGCACTAAAACTTATTTCATTCTTTGAATGAACATTCATAAAATTGGAAAAACAGTTGGTTAAGAAAGATATGGAAAAATACTTAACCTCATGAGTAATCAAATAAATACAACTTTAAAACAATTAAATACAATTTTTAGGGTTTTTTTTAAATAAGATGAGACTATCTAGTGTTGGCAAGTGTGTAGTCACATAGCCATTCTTATTCATCTTCAAAGTGTAAATTGCTAAAAAGTCTTCTTAAAGGCAATTCAGCAGTAAGTACCAACACAACTGAAATACAACTGATATCAACAATAGAAATGGGTTTGTTGTGATTTTCAAAAAGTAATTCCGAAGTATCGCAGCTCTTCCTCATTTCCTTCCTTTCCCACTCCCTCTTCACTTTCCCTTTCCTCTCTTGTAGATGACATCACTAGAAACCAAGAAGATGGTAAGGCCTGGAGGTGGCAGAGCTGAAGAGTTCAGAGAAGGAAGCCTGATGAAGAAATACAATTCTAATGGTAAACCTAGGGAATCAGGAAATCAATTTAACTAAGCCAGCTTCAGTTATGGCTTCTGTACAATCCAGTATTGTAAACCCATTAAATAAAAAGTCATCATAAGAAACCATTGGGAATAGAGGTTAATTAAATACATAATTAGAATCTGGTTTCTCACAAAGTCCTGGGAGAGACTAAAACTAAAAATTTTTCACTTGCACAAAAAGTGGTCATTTGCTTTGCTTTGGGTATTCTAATACCCTCCAAATTTATCTTTTAAAACCCAACATAAGATCATTTTTTAAAAATCATTTTTTATTATTTAATAATTGCTGGAGACAATTCAGAATCTTTCTTATGTTTCACACAGTCATTGCCAGCTACTCTTTATCTCTGTGGCTCTTGATTCAATTCAATTTGGCAGGCATTTATGGAGTGCCTACTGTGTACCAGGCACCATGCTAGGTACAGTATGTAAACATGAGTGTGACACCATCTCTGTTCTTACAGAGTACATGACCCCGCAGAAGAAACAGGCACAAATACAAATGTTGACAGAAAAATAAGATGTATCACAATTGACTTAGATACCAACTCCCACAATGGCACAGAGGAGGAAGCGAGGCAGTGCTCCCTGGAATGACACAAACAAAAACAACAGTATCTGAGCTTGTTCTTGAAGGACTAGTAGTTTACCAAGCAAAATGGAAAACAGAAATTGAGTCCAGGTCTAGATATCAAGAAGCACAAAGAGACCCAGAAAAGACCATGGAGAATTCAAAGACCAGCAACAGGCTTCAAAAGCCTTATGTGAATAGGGCATGCAGGGATTTGTTGGAGGCGAGGGTGGGTTTGAGAGCTGGAGATGAGATTAGTGAACACCATGCCTTTCTCTTGTATTAAAGAGGCCACAGGGAAGACAAAGCTCAGTTGTATTCAACAAAGTCCACTCAGGTAGCACCATGAAGGAAGGGATGTAACAGAGACAGGGGAGTAGTGGAATCGGTCAAGAGGGAATTTCAAAGGTCAAAGATGAAAGGATGGCCCGGTGCGGTGGCTCACGCCTGTAATCCCAGCACTTTGGGAGGCCGAGGTGGGCGGATCACGAGGTCAGGAGATAGAGACCATCCTGGTCAACATGGTGAAGCCCCATCTCTACTAAAATACAAAAAATTAGCCGGGCATGGTGGTGTGCGCCTGTAGTCCCAGCTACTCCAGAGCCTGAGGCAGGGGAATCTCTTGAACCTGGGAGGCAGAGATTGCAATGAGCTGAGATCTCGCCACTGCACTCCAGCCTAGAGACAGAGCGACAGTCCGTCTCAAAAAAAAAAAAAAAGAAAGAAAAGAAAGGATGTGGGTCAAAAAGAAGTTTGGCATGAAGCATCAACAGGAAGCTGCTTCTATAGCAAATCTTAGGATTTGCTCAGAGAATCTGAGGGTCTGGGTGGAGGGTCTTAGTTTCATTTCATACTTGATATGCATGGACCCTTCTCCTCTCACCCCCAGCACATATGAAGGGGATGGACAGTGTTGGAACAAGATGGTCTTGGATTCAGAAATAAAAGGAGTCAGAAGCTGAAGACCTAAGGGTAACACAAGACGTCCAGGTCCTGAAAGCAGTGCAACTTGGAATTTTTGGAAAGTGAATTGACTTTCTGTAGCTGATTCTTTTTTATTTTAGGAAATTAAAAATTATTACTTTTTCTTTAAATGACAAAATTATATATATGTATTATGTACAGCATAATATTTTAAATATATATACATTTTGGAATAAGTAAGTTGAGCTAATTGACATTACTTAATTTTTATTTTTAGTGGTGAGAATGCTTAAACTCTATTCTGTTAGTATTTTTTAAAAATACATATGTTGTTACTAACAATAGTCATCATGTTATACAATAGACCTTTTGAACGTATACCTCCTCTCTAACTGAAAGTTTGTGTCCTTTGACCAACATCTTTCTAACATTCCCCCACCCACACTTCCCCAGTCCCCAGTAACCACCATTCTATGCAATTTCTATGAGTTTAACTTCTTTAAATTCTACATATAACTGACGTCATGCAATATTTGTCTTTCTATGCTTGGTTTATTTCACTTAAAAAGATGTCCTCCAGTTCCATGTATGCTGTTGCAAATAGCAGGATTTCCTTCTTGTTTATGGTTGAAGACTATTCCATTGTGTATATATGCCACAATTTTTAAAATTTATTCATTCGTTGATGGACACTTAGGTTGATTCCACATCTTGGCTACTGTAATGCTGCAGTGAAAGTGCAGGCATCTCTTTGGACATACTGATTTCATTTCCTTTGTAATATACGCCCAATAGTAGGGTTGCTGGATCATATGGTGGCCCTATTTTTAACTTTTCGAGGAATCTCGTAACTGATTCTAAGTTAGTAGGGTAAAATTAAGAACAGGTGTTTAATTTGTGTTCCTGCAGAGATGTTTCTAGTAGTATTATTGTCACATGCAGCTGCTGGGGTCCATGAAAGCACAGTTATAAGAGCTTGGGCATCAGCATCAGGCAATGAGAATCTGATTCCTGCTTCTTCCCTCACCAACTGTGTCATCTCCAGCATGCTATCTAACCTGTGTGAACCTCAGTTTTCTCCTCTATAAAATGGAGACGTGCATTAATTAAGTGTTGTTGAAGGCACAAATGTATAGCATTCATGAAGGTCTTAGTCCTCTACTTGGCATGTGGTATGCAATAAATATTGACTGGTTGATTTGGCCCACAAGTATTACAGTTCCTGATACTTGGAAAACTGATGTTTACCTTTTCAGTAGCTCTGATACCCATAGTTGATCCCCTGATCCCCTGAATCCACAGTGATCCAGTGAGTGAAATCAGACAAAGATGTTTATCTCCACTTTTACAAATAAGGAGGCAGGCTTAGGGGGCTACACAGAAATTCCAAAAGTTGCACAGTGAATACAGAATAAAACTGAGAATAGATTTCAAGTATTTAGACTAAATTTTAACTGCCTTATAATGTATCGCCCATCCTTTGATATTTGTCTTCTTCCACAAATATTATTGAGTTTCTGTGATGAGCTAATCCCTGTGGTGAATAGAGTATTCCATGTCCTGAGAGTGGAGGCTTAAGTATCTCACAATCCTGCGCTTCAAATCTCGCCCTCCTCCCATTTTATGATAAGAAATGTGTTGTATTCAACTCTCGCAGTGGAAACTAGTAGAGATCATGGCACAAAGTAAGTGCTCGTTAAATAGTCAATGGGATTATTGATCAATGGATTATTCTAATACAATCTGTTCTATGACAACTGTCTCTAGAATCGCAGGTACTGAGCAGAAGGAGGAACCTTTTCTCTGCAGTACCCCATAGGTGTGCAGTAATGCATAGGCTTTGAAGACAAATAGACCAGTTTTAAATCCCAGCACTGTGTGACTTTGGGCAGCATGAAACTCAGTGAACTTTATCTGGAATAAACTTTATTTGAAGTTCATTCGGAACTTCAATGTCTTTATCTGGAAAATGCAGCCAATAACACTTGCCTGGCAAACTTGTTTTGAGAATTAAATGAGTTTGCCAGTTGAAAGTGCCTAGGTTAGTAAGCTGTCACGTAGGAAGTGCCAGATCAATGGTAGTGATTATTACTTGTGCAAGGTACAAGAGGTGGCATCAACTTGAGATTCACAAATATACTAGGTATATAGTGGGACCATCACCCTAACCTGAATTATGGCTGGAATATCCCATTGGGTTAAGCCACACTCTGAACACAGGGTTCCTTCTCAGATTGAGAAACCCTTTGTGAGCGTTCTCTTCACCACTGTACATGGGGAGGTAGGGTCAAGTGCTGGCCTTCTACCACTGCTTCCTCTCACCTGGGGGGGTGGCTGAGTCATGCTGACTTGCACCCAGTACAGCTTGTGCCTGTGTCATTACAGTGCAGAGGTCTGCAGGCGCCACCAAAGTGAGTTCTGGCTTTTTATCCTCCTTGTTACAAAGGCCAGAATCACACATACAACAGAAATGTAAACAAATTTTCCAAGCCTCTATTTGTTCTCAAATTGGTCAATGTTTCCTGTCCCACTGCCCCCGAATTCCAACCCTCCACTCTAAACCTCAAAGACTAAAAATGCAAATAAGTGAAATCTTCAATAGTTATTGATTTGAAGAGAAACTTTGAGCTTGAAACCTTGAATTTTTTTTTTTTAGATTATTTGTAATACTTTAAGTAAAAACTTGGACAACAATTTAATTTCTGCATAGTTTTGAAAATGTTCATAGAATAATTGAACCCAGAAATATGAAGGATTAAAACCTAGAAATCCAATAAATAAAAAATGGAAACAATCTTAATGATAAATAAGAGGAAAATAATCAACTAAAATTGTGAAATTGTGACACACTTATATATTGTAATATTATCCCTAAAACAATGCTAGTTTTAGTGACATTAGAAAAATGTTTAAAATATAGTGTTTAAAACAAAGACAGAAAACTCTGCATACAGCAGGATTCCAATTGTTAAATATGTTTAAAATGTACCAAGACTACTTCTATATATGATTATAATGATTATTATTTTTACCTGTTCTTTATGCATATCCACCTTTATACAACAAATGCTTAAAATCACAGATATTCAAAAATGTTTGAAAAATGTAATAGTATAATTTTCAATCGTCTTTGCCCTTGAAAGGGAGTTCTAAGACCAATCACGTCAGTAAGAACTTAACTAGTAAACACTTGTCTCTCATGAAGTTCTAGTCATTCTCATTGACATGAACAAGTTAAAGACTGGGCAACAAATGTGTTCATGAAAAGTCAAGTGCTGTCTGAGTTGCCGAATTTCTGGAGAACAGTATTGTATGGAATAAAATGAAAATAAAATCCTGGATTGAGAGTTAGGAGATGAAAGTGTTAATACTAGCTGTGCCGCTAAATGGCTGTAGAGCTGGACTAGCTTACTTCCCCTCTTTGTTTTTGACTTGTTTCATTTGTAAAATGAGAAAAAATCATTCCTTCACTCATTCATTTATTCACTGTTTTAAGAAACGTTTCTCAAGGTTATCTTGTAGCTTAAGTACTGTTGTAGACACTGAGAACAGATCAGTGGAAAAAAACAAATGTAGCTCTTACCTTCAGAGAACTTATGGTCCAGTGGGGAAGACAAACCATGGATTACTAAGTAAATATGTGTAATAGTGTCAGGTGCTGTGAAGGAAAATGAAGCCAGGTAAGGAGAAAGAGAGAAGCCTGCAAGGTCCCTAAGGAGGTGATTTGTAAGTAGATAACTGAGTGAAACATAGAAGCAAATCTTGCTGCAATCCAGAGGGGAGGGTGTCCCAAGCAGAGGGAACAGACTATGCAATATGTGGGAAATGGAAGTGTGGCTGGAGTCGAGAGACTCAGGCAGAGAGTGAAGAAAATGAAAGTCAATTCTTTTCCCCTGCCGTTTAACCAAATAGAATCCATGGGAGAGCCTGTCAGCAGGCTCAAAATGCTCCCGGCGCACGTGAGCTCTAAAGTCCAAGGCCTTCACACAGGGAGTGCATTACAGGAACTTCATCAGTTCTGCCGTGATGCTTTGAAGGCCCGCTGTGCAACTATTAGCTGATCACATTTAACAAACAGTGACACAGTCACCAGGCATGTTTGTGCCCAAGCAGGTGATGATTTTCTCTCCACTGACTCCAGTCAAGGACTTTTCGCTTCCAGGTTTCAGGCTCCAGGTGACGTTGGGCACAGAGGGTCAGGAGGAAAGTGAACAGGTCACGCACCGAGCAGGTGACACGATCGGTGCTCAGCTCATATTTCAAAGGGCCCACTTTTCCTCCTATGTATCAAGCACACAGTTACTTTGAATGCTGCAGAGTAGGATGATTCATCAATTTCCAAACCCTTGAGAAAGGAATCATTGTTTAGATATTTTAAATGTTTTCCTACCCCTTACAGAGGTAGCTATAGCTCAGGAAGATGAACTGAAATGAAGGTAAGAACAAAAAAAGCAATTGGTCTCATCTATAATTATAAGCCTTATCATTTATTGTGCACTAATAGTCGCATTTCCAAGCAGACATTATTAATTAGTGAAATAACGAGGCAATTTGCATTCACCCTGATTCAGAAAAATTCAAACTACTTCAACCGACCAAACATAGGTAACTCAGACTAATTACTTTTTGCTTTTTTATTAGATGGGGAAACTGAGGCATAGAAATGGAATGGATCATGAAATGAAGTAAAGTAAAAGAAGTTTTAGTCAAAGCTTCATAGAAATCAGACTTTCATCAAAGATGAAAGTGAATTGGGATTATTTGTAGAGACATATTAGAGTAGAAGGAGGTTAATCACTTTCTGACTAGGTTAACCTCTGAGTATCACCACCAGCTTTGACAGGTTATCTAAGCTCTCTGAGTCAGTTTCTCTTCCCATAAAATGGAGCTGTCAATACTCATCTGACATGCATGATTGTTCTGCAGAATAAATGATAAACCTGTGTGCTTGCAAAAGAAAAGTGGGTTGTCATGTGAATGGATAGCTATTGCCCAGAGCCCAGAAGAAACACCATTTCAGGAGCAGGGTGGGGAGGAGGCTCTGCATTAACCTAGAGTGTGTTGGGCTACATAGTTCTGGAAGAACTTCTATCCAGCAATCTGGG